ACAAGCGTCCGGCCGATTCGACTGTAGCGAAAACAACAGGATCGACGACTACAGGAGAGGGCGGTAAAACTCCTTTGGACGATGAAAGTCAAAGGGGTAGATTCGGATGGACGAGTTTCGATGAGTGTCACATACCTTACATATTCCGTGCCGGTGAAAAATATTGCGCGGTACGAATCCTAGAGTCTAAGCTGTTGAACAAGTACCTGAGTTACCTGCACTCGGATATCTATAGCTGTACGTGCATAAGAAGTTACTATATTACGGATGCCGAGAGTAAGCTTTTCAACGAGATTAATATCAAGCATTGCGATAATCAATTTGGAAGGGATCAGTTTACGTGCAAGGATCTCGTAGTGAGGTTATCCGATGCTAAAGAATTCTATACATTTTTGGATGTGTGTTATACAAAGTTAACGGCCGGCGCGAATCCGAACGTAACGGGGAGGCACAAGGCCGAGAAGTGTGGTTTCATACGAATAAATAAGGAATCTGTGGTACCTTATACGGTGAAGGACGGTCTCCAATATGTACCCCTATTTTATTTCGAGGGCGAAACGGAGAATTTGAAGTTGAAGGCGGAAAAACTTGAAGGTTGGGACCTTTCGTATTTGAAGTTTTGTTGCAAGGTACAGGGTATAAGAAATGAACTCTTTGCAAGTGAGACATGCTCCGTGATCAGTTTGAGTGATATTAAAAGTTACTTTCCCCCTGATACGGGGTTCGAAGATTATTGGCCGAACAAAGTGATGGACTCTCAGTTGTTAGTGAGTAGCAAGGGTGGTGGGGGCGGTGGCGGATGGACCAGACAACCGCCTACACCACCGGTGTCGAAGACAACATCCGTACAAAATAATACGAGTAAGGCGAGCCTTAATTCGCGTGCGGGCCCTTTACAGACAATATTACCACGTGGATCTAGTGCTACGAATGCGGCTCAAACGCAACGAGTTAGTCAGTCAAGACAAACTCCTGCTACGACGCATCCCGCTCATTCCTCGCCATCGTCACTTCCATCTGGGAGATCCAGTATCCCTTCTCAACCGATGCTGAACGTTGTACAGGGTGTAGTCAATGGGTGGTCTGGACTCGTTGGTGGACAACCGACTTTCCAAACTGCTCTTGTCTCTCAGGCTAATTCTCTCATACGTACACCACCTCCATTAAACATGCACAATGTAAGTAATCTTTAAACTTTGGACTAACCTTCTCTTTCCACAATGGTTAATCCATTGAAATGTCTGCGGTAGATATCTGCGTCAAGCAAAACCTATACTACTCATCAGTCAAGAAGTAGAGGGGGTGGTGGCGGAGCAACGGCTCAGTACCCTGGAGTTTATCCAGTTACTACTATGCAAGCCGTTGCTCAGGCCCAACCACCCCCTCTTGTCAGAGCAACGGCGCACACCAGTCAACCTAATCTTGGGTGAGTTAAAAGTATAAGATGTTTCGTTCCAATGATTGTACACATATATATCGTCGATGAAATTCTTCACTCTTTTTTATAGTTTACACTTCATCTTTGTCGCACTTTCCCCAAATGATTTGTGCTTGCTTTTTGTTTTTAATTATTTTAAATCATCAATTCTTTGATAGATAGTATGACATGTATATAAATTGCATAGAGATATTAGATAAATTATTATGGATCTTTTTGTACCAAAAGTGTTTTTATTCTTTAAATAATAATATTTGTGGACATATATGTGTATAAAATATTACATATTTTTAGAAAGATATAATACAGATTATTTTTTATTATACATAAAGTTGCTTAAAGTTTTTCTTAAGATGAATAATGTAACAATATATTAGATTCTTAGATTTGTTAAGAACATATTTTTTTTGTTTTCTTTTTTCTTTTTCTTTGATAAAGATATCAGCGAAAATATATTGGCTTTTTAATTTTTTTTTTTTTACCAAGCACTGATTGTCAATTATTTCTGTTTTGATGTTTAAAATATTCATCTACATAATAGATGTAATCATTATTTATTATGTAGATCTCTGCACTGAAGCTTTTTGCATTTGTACATACAATGTATCATTTTTTTTGTATAGTTATCCAACCTATGGGAAGGATGACTGGTGAGTCTCTGTTAAATGTACTATAGTTTTACTACTACTACGGAAAGAGTAAGACAGCATGCACAAAATTAACATGAATAGAAATCATTTGATCTATGCAAACATCCAGTTATATTGTAATTAATGGGCTAATGAAAGTTAAATATGCTTCTATATTTCAAAAGTACATATTTTGTCTGATATTTTCATAACTGGTTTATGCCTAGATCAAATAATCATAATTATAAAAAAGTTTGAATCAATTTTTTAATTATTAATTCATAAGTAGCATATATATATATATATACATATTAATATATGTATATATATGTATATATATGTATATATATACATATATTAAACTATATGTATATTTTAATATATATTATATATATATATATATAATATATATATATATATATTGAAATGATATAAAAATAACAATTTCATTTTTATTTTTGAAAGATAATAAAACAGATTAAAATGTAAAGTCTATTATCAAAAATTTATTAGTTTGAAATTTTAATTTTGTACAAATATTTTTTTTGCTGGAAATAATTTGTATTTTCTAAAGATTTTACTTTATTTAACTGAAATTACATGATACATACTACTTATCATAAAAGGATTCATATTGCAGGGTAACTACGACATATACAACACCTTCCTTGGGTGTTCCTGATGCAGTCACAGCCAGAACGTATCCACAAATGATTGGCTTAAGTGAACAGGTACAAGCCCTTATGCCTGCTCCTACATCAGCATCAACGTTATTAGCACGTCAGCAAAGGCATACACCACCCGTTCACAATACATCCCATGCAAAATATCCACCACCTTTAATACCAGTGAATGGAAGTAGTAATAATTCCAGGTATGCTTTATCACGAATTATTATATCTTGATTATGTCACTCTGATAAATTATTTTTTATTATTAATAGGATATAATTTACTCTATTTATAGAGATTCAAGAGGAAGAAAAGCTTTGATAAATATATCGGAAACGCCTCTGTCTAGTTGCCAAGCGCAACCATATCAAGTCCAAAAGGCATTAATAGAAGACAAAATGGTACCTTGTATCAACTTTAAACCATATATCTACTCTGAATTGTTGATGACACTCCCAGATTTTGTGTCTAATTATTTTCCTGCCTGCGACATTAACAGTTGTAGACAAGTTCTTACGGATGTCTTAAATATAGATTTATACCAAGGGAATAGGTGAGTTTCTCACAACGATATACAATCTGCATAATAAATAAAAAAATAAAAAAAAATAAATAAATATAAATGTATATACATATATATATGAACTGAAAATGGAAATTACTTTTACTTATGCAGACTGCAAATGAAAATGTTGATGGAAGCAGGAAAATGCTCTTCTTTAAACGAAGAATTACCACTAATTCAAGTAGGAAATATTATGAAGTACATGCCTCAGTTTAAGTACATGTTTAACAGAGACGATATGGTGATGCCTGCACCAGCACACTCTTCTGAAGATCACCAACCGAAAAAACGACAACGTACTAGCTAGGACTGGCTACAGCCATACTGGCCTACTTACGATTACTATCATCCGGCATTTTAAATAAGCCGATAAAACACATTGACTGAGACGTAATTACAATGCACGATCTTAAGATCTACAAATCTCAAAGTCAGAAAAATACATACTTGGCATTATTGCTTTGAGCAATATGATCACCTGAATTTCGTGTTTGAGTACAAGAGATCTGTGACATATAGTCTGAGAGAGCCATTTCTTTCTCCAAAGCATATCTTTATACTAATGAGAAATATAATGCTTGTAAATAAAGTCATACAACAAACAAAAATTGGAGATGCGCGCGATTGATATTATATTGTGTTCTATGTGATGTTTTGTTAAATGTTGCTCTAGCAACGTTTGTTTCGATTATCTCAAAAGTTTCGTACTATTAAATCGTACTACAATAATTTCTGTACTGTAAAAAGGAAAAAGAAAAAAAATGATATATGACAAGCATCTCTTTTAACTTGTTCGAGATGATATTTTCTGTAAATAAAACCTGTCCACATTCTCTCTTTAAACGTGTCCTTGGAGAAAGAATGCGCTAAAATATATCTGAGATGATATAAATAAGTTGTTGAGGTCGTTCTCAAAGGATGCACCATATTCGATATCTAAGTGGATATCAAAATGCCTATTGCATATTAGAGTGAATATATATATATATACATATATATATATATATTTATATATATATATGTATATATATATATATTTATTTATATATATTAAAAAAAAAAAGAAAAATATACATTGGCATTTGTACATTTGAAAGGTGGAGGTAATGCTTCTTCAAGTTCCTAGTTGTTACTAATGTGTATCCTGATAAATAGCTGCATTAATGGTTTTTGAATCCTTTGATTCATATTTTGACATAAAAAAAAAATTAACAGAGAACAACCTATTTTGAAAGTTACAATTTTTAATTAGTAATATTTCTAATGTGTGCATACTCTAAAAACGTCAGATTATAAGAGAATTTTTTTTTCATCTATTATCAAATGCTTATATTTATTAAAAACAGAACGATTATATGAAACCAGTGAGAAGAATCCTTGAGAAGAACCGACGTTCAACTTTCTTCTATTTTAATTCACCGTACACAGGATTGCAGTAACATAGGTTTTAATAAAGTATTCAACATTTATGAAATGTTCTTTATAATAAATAAAAAGAAAAAAAAATGAAAAAAGAACGAAAAACGAGTAAAAACAACAGCAGCGGTAGCGGCAGTGGCAGCAGCTGTCACAACAGCAATGGCAGCAGCAGCAGTAGCAGGAACAACAACAGCAGCAGCAGCAGCAGCAACAGCAGCAGCAGCAGCAGCTTAGGATACATTAGGTCTTTACAATATGATAACAATCAATGGACTATA